ATTAAATGGGAAGATGGCCTTTTGTACATCCTTCCTAACAATTTACTTGGGAAGTGGTCTGGTAAAGAGAATGGGTGAGTAAAGGAAGCAAGTGGAGGGCTGGAAAGCAAGAAGTGAAGAAAACACTGGGTGAAGAGCCATGGACTGGAAGAAAGGAAGAGTGAAGAAGGAAGCCAAACTCAGACAAAACGCTCACAGAGGACGTGGTTACCTAAAGGAGCATCTCCATCTATACGTACCTGCCCGCCCCTTAAGATCTGGGGCAGACGCCCTTCTCCGGGTCCCCTCCCTGAAGGAGATTAGGAGGGTGACTACCTGGAGAGGGGCCTTCTCTGCAGTGGTACCCCAATTGTGGAATTCACTCCCCAGAGAGGTTCCCCTGGTGCCGTCACTTTATTCTTTTTCTCTCCAGGCTAAAACTTTTTTATTTTCCCAATGTTTTAAGATCTGATTGTTTTAATTGGGGTTTTATTGTTGGTTGGATTTTTTAGGATGCTGTATTGTATTTCGCATTGTTGTATTGTTAAACATTCTCAAAATCTTGGTAAGGGATGGTCTAGGAAAGTTTTAAACAAACAAACAAACAAACAAACAAATAAATGTAGGCACCAGAGAGAAATTGGAAGGCAGCAGGAGACAGGGAGGGGGGCAGATAAGTGTCCTGTTGCAATTTGCCTTAAGGGCTGCTTTGTTGCTTGCATTTGATACCTGCATGTGACCATAATATATTGAAAATGATCTGTAGCATCATTGGACCCAAGGGCAGGAGATCAGCAGGGATACCCCACTGCCAGCACAGTGGGGAACTGGTGGTTCTCAAAGCTGCCAGAAGCTCTCAGAAATGCTTATTCCCTGAACAGAGGAGAGCACTGTGAGAAGTGGGCCAGGCGCACACTCTTTGCTGGCATTCCAGGCCCCCTGAGTCATCAGAGGCTGCAGACACAGGGGAGGAGAAGGAAGGGATGGGAGGACAGAAGGGTCAAAGGGGGTCAGGTGCCTGTGAAGTCCCACCATGGTCCCAGCCCACCATTTTCCAGGCCTGTCCTGGAATGAAGGGAGGAGTTTCAGGAGAGGAAGGAAAGCAACAACCTTACCTTGACCCTGATTCTGTGGCAAGGCTTTGAGTGAAGTGAGCTATCCAGTTAGAAAGCTTGCCAGCTGGCTTTGCACCAGTGGAAACAACCTTGAGGGTGAGGTTGCTACATGACTAAAGTAGAGGGACTGAGAAGATGTGCCAGTTTGGGTTCAACTCTGTTTACATGAGCAGAGGCTTATCTTTCAGCTCACTAGAAGGCTATTTAGAGTCACAGTCTTGTTAGCTGTAGAGTGTCAATAGAAATCTGCATTGTAAAGGGATGCCTGGTGTTTTGAAGCCTGAGGGCAAGAAGGGAAGGGTGAGGCTTACAAATCACAAAGCATTTGGTAGCCTTGTCCTTACAGGCCAGTATGAGGTTGCTCTTAATTCCCATTCAGAGGGACCTGCCCAGGATAACCCAGTGAGGCCAGAGCCTAGTTGGGGTTTTAACCCAGCTCTCCTCCAGGGGGGTCGGATGTTCTGCCCATTGGATTGCTTTGACTTTTTCAGCAATTGCTCCAACTGGACTACAACTGCATGCATTTCATTTAAAAGCTAAGTCTTTCTGGTAACCTGACTGTTGATCACCACAGGTTCTCTCAGTTCTCCCTGCAGGGAAAGGTCAGTGCATTGTTTTTACATCATACGGTGTGAGAGGAAGTGCAATATTGGTATATTATTTTATAAATAGCTGGCAGATTACTGTTTCATCTGAGAAAGGCTGACGCTTTAAAAAGCCTTGGCAAGCTGTCTTGTTAGCAGACCTGGTGGTCAATCATGCTAAACCTTGCATGTGAATAAAACAAATCTGGAAAACATCCCAGGGTAAGCTTGGCCAGAACCTTTGTTTGCCGACCTCACTAGCAAGGAGACTCCACGGCATGCCTCACCTTTAGATTTTCTGTACTCTGCCATGGCCTTAGTAAGCTGGCGTTGCTTTTGCTTCATAAGAGTAAGCACCAGGAATATATGGAGCACTGCGAATTCTGGAGCACAGAGTCAATGAGAAAGAGAAATGCAAGCTTTTCAGCAGTGCTTAGCGGTGAGAAGCATCACCTCTAGGCTGACCAGAAGTCATTCTAGAACACCACCATGTGGACTGTGTATCTATCTAGGGTATATTTTGCAGTGCACATATATGCACATTTTATGCATATCTGTATGCTCTTTTTTTGGTGAGACAGCTCCTCTGTTTTGGCATTTTTATAAGTGGTGACCTTAAGTCCTCAGAGCTAAAAATCACCTAAGCAAACCCACTGAAAAGCACTTCAGTCTCTATGATATGCCCTCAGCAGAAGATGCACTCTGGATAGACAGACTCAAAACCAGTTCAGTTGGGAATCAGGGTGTGCTAGTCAATTGATACAAATCAATTGATTTGATACGATCAATTAAGTGATACAAATCAGTTAAGCAGGGTTTCCTATGCAAGTCCAAATGGAATGGCAACAGGAATTTGATCCTAGGGTTATTTTCAAAATTATCTGAATTTGTATTTGGAAAAATGCTCTGAAAATGCATATCCTCCCAACAGTCCCCCACATGTTCACACTGAAGCCTATTTGAATAAATGTGCAACAGGAGGAAAAGTGCCTTCTTTTGATAGGGGAAAATGTGCACTTAAAAAAAATCTGCATTTTTCCATGCTCGAGGGGGCAGGAATGTAACACAAACAAAGTAAAACAAACATTGAAGAAAGAGCTGCAGAACCTTAGATAGTGCTCATTGACACCTACCTGGGTGATGGTAATTTTGAACATATTTATTTATTTATATTTATTGCATTTATATACCACCCCAATAGCCCAGAGGGCTCTCTGGGTGGTTTACAAACATTAGAGCCCCACCAATCCTAAAATAAACAAATTGGCTACACCACGACTGAGTATAAAATAACATGGTGAAAATGAATTAAATAAATAAATATACCATTAAAATTAATGAACTTTAAAATATTGGTTAAATAAAAAGGTCTTGAGGCCATAAGCCAGAAAGCTTTCTCTTTCTCTTCCAATGCATTGTACGAACCAACATGCAAAAATGGTATCCTCAGGATTTGTGAAATGAACATATATGGGGGGGAGGGTGAGGGCAGAACTAAAGTACTGGTGAAATGCCAACCCTCTCAAAGTGCTATTTTTAACTAGGAAACTGAGGATGAGAATGGGAATGTAAACGTGAGAGCCCCCTCCCTTCAAATTATCTATACAGGGTGCTTTCATGTGCATCAACAAATGCCATCTCCAGGTGCCCTCTTTCCTTTAGTTTCATTTCTTTGGGCATCAAGAATTATGAGTGCTTAAAAGCTGATCTTGGCTGCTTTGAATCTAGCAAAGGAAATCTGATGATTACTGGAATTTGAGCTTGCCTGTCTATGCAACAGCGGATAAGACCCTATAAAAGACAGGGAGAGTGGCAGAGCAGCAGCCTGCTACGTATTATCCGCTTGTGTGGCCAGAAAGGAGAGTCAAGCTATGGATATAAAGCAGGCTAAAGTCAAATAAACCACATTAAAAATAATCCAGAAGAATTAAGATTAGGGATGTGTGAGCATTTCATTGGATTCATTTGGAGAGGTAGGGGTAATGATTTAATGGATTATCCAAATTTCATCACCATCCAGGTGGAAAGAATGAAATAAAATTGAATGGAGGAGAATGTGAAATGGACAGATTTATCCACACAGAGAATTTTTTCCCTTTCCTTTCATAGCTGCCTAATTTGTATCTCCTGCAGCCGGCACACCTCTGAAATTGTAACACTTTTCTCAACTAAAAAGGAAAAAAAAAAGAGTGGAGATTGACAATATATGTACATTTCAACAATGCAGAAAGAAAAATACATAATTACCAAAATGCTTTCAGAAATGCATGTATACTTTAGTCTGAGGAGATACAGATCCAAAAGGTGCATGTTTAAAGAACTAGTATCTTTTCCTCCTCCCTCCTAGCCATTTTTCCTTTTGTGTCATGTCTTTTAGATTTTAAACAGCAGGGCAAGGACTGTCTTATTAGTAAGTTTGCTCAGCTGAAGAACATGGTAGAACTGATGTAAATAATGCATTTGTTAACAAGAACATTGCAACATATGAATATTCCTGAAACCATTGCAAGTTTGTGCAGAAACAGAACTGAATAAGCTTAACCTCAACATCCTATCAATCATGTAAGGCAAAGGATGACAGTTCTGCCTACTCCCAGTTTATCGTTATGTACATGAACTTCAGACCAAGGAAATCCTTTCTTTTCTTCTGGTATAGCTATTCAAATGAAATAAGTAGATTTAGCTTTCTATGTCCATTGACCAGCTTTTTGTTCCATCCAAATCCTAACTGTGGCTAATTTTAACCATAATTATCTGAAACAAGCCAGCTTCATAAACTACCATTTGAAGTTGGCTTATTTCAACTAACCATGTTTAAGACTAAATGCAGTTTGCCTCCACTCAGACATTACACTTAGTTGTGGCTTAGAACAGATGGACTTCTGACCAGGCTGGACGTAAAGAAGATGGGAGGCAGAGCTTCAGGCTCACTGTGGCTTTTCTCCATTACAGCAAACCAAGGCTTATCATTATTCAAACTTAAACTTCCAGGTACACACCCAACCTTCCAACTACCTGCTATAAAGATGCAGGAAAGAAAGGCTTCCTGTTTTATTTTGCTTTTCAGGAAATATAAATATTCATGCTTTGTATAACTTCAACTCTCTGCTGGATACTTAGTGGCAGAAAATATTTTATTCTGTATACTTTTGTACTGCAGAAAATATGACATTATGAGGGAGTGTTGGGCTATTTGGTTATACAAAATGTTTTATGCATATCTAGAATTGGACACAATCAAATTTTGGAAGTTAGCAAAAGGTTGCACCTCAGGGCAAACACTGATCAAGGCATGCAATTACAATAGAAGAAAACTTTACATACTTGGATCTGACAAGATGGAGTCGGTTTTCGGCAAAAATTGGTCACAGCGGACTCCTTGGTAGCCCTCTTTGCACCTGGGAAAAAGGGGAAAAATGACAAACATACGCATGCGGTAGTAACAGACTAATCGGAAGTCATCAATCAACTGGAAACATTGTTCAGAAGGCTATGACTGAGCTAAAACATGTTAAAAAGCAGTGGCAATGGAGCCATCTCCAAGGAACACTTTTTGGACATCCGTTCTCCTGATGAAGAACTTTCCATTTGGCACAGAATTCAGTACTTCTTCAGGTACTTGGGGATTTTGTCTAGAAAGACATTTGTTTCAGAAGGGATTTCGTGGCTCTCACTGTTTCCTCAGTTCAGCTGAGATTTTGACCAATATCTGCTATGCATTCTCAGAAGCAGGGCATGGCGTTGCTGTGTGAGGTCCTGTGTGGACCTTTCCTGTAGAATCAGCACCCACTCAGGCTACACTGTGCTGAAGATTTCCCCTGCACCAGGCAGCACTGCCTTGCAGCTAGCTGCATATTGCAGAAGAAATAACGGGAGGCAACCGACGTTTCGGGAAAGCTGTTTTGCCATTTCGCATCTTTTCGCACAGGAATCCCTAACAGGCTGCTCACAGACCCTGGGATTTGGCAGAACCCACCATGAAAACTGCACTGAAAGGCAAGGTGTTTTAGTATCCAGAAAACTTCGCCTAAGCATAGTTCGATCATTTCTGATCAAATAAACAAAAAAACAAATAAATTGAAACCATGAAATGCCACTAGTTCTTTTAAACAGGAAGCATATCATAATAACAGAGAAGTTTAACACATGACCCTTAAACAATTTTAATAAGCAGGAATTTGAACTCAGGCCTAAACGATGCAAGCACAACATGAAATGATGCTATTCATGGAACTCATAAGATGTGCATCCATGGTGAACTACTCTTGAACTTGGGGCCTATATCGGGTAGCATCAGGTCACGTACAGCTGAATTTTCAAAGAAATCCTTCATTTTTTTTCTGACTTACTTTTTGCACCAGCTCTCTTGACATTTTGTGTTAAGAAATAAGTGATCTTTCAGAGTGAACTGAGTGCCCAGCAATTTCTTTCTGCTAATAGAGGTAGACACACTCCAAAGCTAGAATCTTAGGAAACCAAGCCCTATCAATAATAAGAATCACGCACACACATGCACATTCACACACACACACACACAAATGCACCCATAAGAATGTCCAGCAATCACTTGATTCTTGTCTGAATTCAGGCTGAATGGACTTATCCCAAGCCAGTTTTCTAAACACAATCTAACACTTAGTAAGAAATAACATGGACTGGATGAAAAGGAGATGCATATGAAGAACAGAATTTCACATCTCCATAGGATCCCACCCAGAAATTTTAAGAATTTCATTGAGCTTCACTTGCAAGGGGCTGCATCAAATACCAAATGACCTAAATCACCAGTTAAGTCTCTTCAAACTAATCCAAAAACATAACACATTGCTCAATTTGGTAAGTAAACCAGCTTACAGTTGAACAATCCTTAACAGTTATGATAGAGAATGCTTGCATACAGCCTCATAAGCCGTTCTTTTCTCCTCCCACCCTGGCCTTTGAAGCTCTATTTCCTACCAGAGGGCAGAGTAAAGCTGAAACTTTCAGGATCTACTCAGCTCACTATTGGAAGCAGAAGGTCCACTGGCCAACCTCCCATGCCAGAGTCCCACTGTTTGTTCTGAGTACCACCACAGTCCAACTACATTTAAAACCCAAGATTTTTCTCACTTCAGCAGGAGCATTGTGGGCAGTGGGGGAATCATTATGTTGCCACTGTTGCTAAACAATTGAGTCAGAAATCCATGTTGATCGACTGCAGAACAACCATCAATCTATGCCTCTGCTGACCTGGCACCATGAGAGCATTTCAAGTTAGGGATGCACAAGGAATCCATTTGGAGGTGGGAATCCATTGGATTCCCTGGGCTTGGCTACGCAGACTCCAGTCCATTCTGCAGTGGCACTGAGTCGATGTTCCTGGTGCGTGTGCCTAGCATTTGTGGGGTGATCACCAGGAATCAGCAGCAAGCAGGGAAGAAGGGTGATGGCTGGCGTGCCTGCTGGCAGCACCCCTCTTCCACGTCCTGCAGCCAGTCCTGTCAAGGAAGGTTGCCAGCTGCAGAACCGGGGGTCCACAAGCGTTTCTGGACTTCCTCATCTCAGCTCGTTTTGCATGCATGAGAGGAAGTATGCGGATACTGGAAGGGCAGATTCCAAAAGGGTTTGCTCCAACCCTATTTCAACCACAGGGAAGGAGAAGGGAGAGCAAGCTGCCACTTCTACCATCGATTCAGCAACCTCGCATGGGTGGTTTGGATCTACAGAGCAGTTAGGGGAGGAATTCAGACCTACTGTCTATGCAAAGGTTGGCTTCAACTTGGAAGGAACTGAGCCTATTTTCCTTTGTGTGTTCAGCAGGGTGGCAGATCTCAATTCCAAACTGGATGGGTGGGACTGTGCTTGTCCACTGCTACACGTGTGCGCCAGGGCTCTGTCTGGAGACAAGCTGGGGAACAGGCAGGCTAGGTGGACATCCATCAGTTGCTCCAGCAAGAGCAACTGAAGAGCTGCACAGTCTGAAGAACCCAGTCAATGCCAGACTGTCAAGCTGCTGAGACCAGGTTAGAATCACTAGCTTTGAAGGGCCAAGTGGAATCCTATAAGTTACTTCAGTCACCTGACATCTGCAGCCATATCCTCTGGCCAGTCCCAGGGATGGTACAGAACAGCTGCCTCCTCTGGCCCACTTGCACCGGAGCCCTTGGTCTATCTGGTTTTGCTATCCGCTCAATCCCATCCACCCCAGCATCTTACCAAGTGTCTCTGTTTTAATCTTTGACCTATCAGGGCATATGAGAAAGAGAAGAATGCTTGAAACGGCAAAAACAGAGTGCACTTTAGGGATCTGAGTCATGTTAATGTGACATTATATCTGTCTGTGGGTGGTCTCGCCCAAGACAATCGCTCTGTATTTTTTGAGTGAGTTGGATGAGAAATTGCACACTTCTTTTGAATGAGTGTTCACACCCACCAGCCCACTTACTGAATTATACTGTATAAATGCATGGTTTTAAACTCCCAAATCAGATAATTATTAGGGTTGTCTTGCCAGAAATTATAGGGGTTTGCTGACATACCGCACATCAAGAAGAGTAAATAGACTTTTTTCCCCCTGCGTGCAGTGTTGGAAATTGATTCTGCAATTCTCAAACAAGTTGGTGACAATGACTAACGTTTTCCTCCACCCCCTGCAATGGCTCCTTTAAAGGCTCAGCCTGTAAGTGAACCATTAAACGTGAAGACGCGGACTGGGAGATCAGATTGTGTGTGTGTGGGGGGGGGGGGGAGTCCTTGTTAAGCATGCAATGCAAAAAGGCAAGGAGCAGAGAGCCTATACACACACAGTTCCTAAGCAACAAAAGTATCTGACATAAGCTGTTTGCTGGTGGATTGCTTGATCATCTCTGACATGCAGAACGGATGATGGGCAGGGACCGAGTTGGCTTTCTAAAACTATTGCAGTGAAGTTCACAACATTTACTGACCTACAAATTGCAGGTAGTCTGGCTGCCCACACGTGTCAGGAGGTTGTGGTCACTACTGTCCACATGTAATAGTTGGCTATACTAAAACAAATCCAAAAACAAAAAAAACACCTTATAAGTTTTTTTTTAAACCAATGAGGCTTCAAAAACTATGTAACCATTCCAGTCAGAAAAATATGAAAAACAAACCCCAGGTTTTTTTTTTTTTATTTCTATCCTGTCAGAAACATCTGTTTACTGCATGACATCTGTTGCAATATTACAAAGGAAGGATGTGCAAGCAATGTGCAAGGAACCCATTTTGGGGTGGGAATCGTTGGATTCCTTGGGCTCGGCTTCCCAAATTCCAGTCCTTGTAGTGACTCAGAGTCCAAGCTCCAGAGTCAGGTGTGCCCAAAGTTCGTGTGTCGCTCCCCAGAAATCAAGGCCCACATCCTGTGTAAACAGCACTTCTTTCCTGCTCGTCACTGCTGGCAGCAGTTGGCAGAGAAGAAGGTGGCTGCTGGGAATGGCGCCAGGATGCCTGCGTGCCACAAAACCCTTCCGCATTGTGGAGCCGTTCCTGAGAGGGAAATTTGCTGGTTGTGCAACAGGGGTCTGCTCCCATTCACAGACTTCCTCTTGGCTCAGCTCATTTTATAGGACTGGGCTGAATACCGAAGGATTGTGCTAGAGGGATGGATTCTGAAAAGGCTTATCCCAACCCTAATCTTATATGCTGTTGCCCAGTATACTACATGGGGGACATTGTTAATGGCTTTAAAAAAGCAAAACTATTATTAGTTTGAAAATTATTATTGTTACACTGCATGTATATCCCACATTTTTTTTCCTTTTGTGAGGAAGCCAGACAGCTTATGCAGTTCTCCTGGGCTCAGTTTGTATCCTCATGACAACACCCCTGTGAGGTAGGATAGGCTGAGAGTGAGTGAGTGGTCCAAAGACACCCAATGGCCTCAATGGCTGAAAGAGGACTAGAACCTTGATCTCTAATCACCATGCGACACTAGCCCTGAAACATGTTTGCTTCTCATGCAAAGTGACTGGTTGAGGTGCTTTTGGAAAATAAGGTATTTAGAAGGTGCCATTTTGAACTGGCAACTCAAGAGGTGAGGGTTCCAGTTAATATCCTAATTTTCTAACTTTCCTGTTCTGTAGTTTCTAGGAACAAGTGCTAATCATTTCTCTCCATTCTTCACAGTTAAGCTGTGTAAAGAGTGAGATTTGAGTCCTGAGGGGAAATAAATGCCTAAGTCTTTTTGGCACGGTCTCCTTGCCGCCAGGGTTCTTTCTGGAAGGCTGCCTCCTGGAATTATCAATGCATAAAGCATAGCAGATTAAATGATTGGAGGAAAGTGTTGACATTGATCAGTTGGGAGGATGTACCATAATCGGTGATGGTGAGTTAGGATGAAAGAAGAAAGAATTCAACAATTGGAGAATTTTAATAATATATTGGGCTGTCAGGGGGA